TAATTTATTATAAATAATTATTAATTATATAAAATAGTAAAAGCCATTCATTTAATAAATTATTGCACATAATTATAACTATTAATAATAGTATAAATATGGGTTATTTATTTATGTTGTAAAGAATATTACCTTGTTCGATAATTAATATCATCTTAGTAATACAATTTTGGATTTTATAAGTTAAAAATACTTTTATTTTAGAAAATTAATGTATATAAAAAATTTGGATCCTTTAAATTTATGAGACATATATTTTTCTCTTCTTTTCTTCAAAATATTTGGCCACTCGCTAGAATATTCTAATAATTTATAATGATAACAAAATTAATAAATATATTATAATTTAATATAAAATAATTATTAATTGTAATGAAATAGTAAAATTATTTATTTAATAAAATATTGTACATAATTATAATTATTAATAATATTATAAATAGGATTTTTTATATTATAACGATTATTACCCTTTACGATATTATAATATCGTCTTAGATATAAAAATTGGACATTATGAACATAGTGCAATAAAATATTGGATCTTAGCAATTTATGAGTCATGCATTTTTTGTTGGAAAGTAAATGTCTCATATATTTCAAGTATCCAATATTTTTATATAAAATAATTTTTCTAAATAATAGTACTTTTAATTTATACCATCCAATTTTTTATTACTAAGATGATATTAATTATTAAACAATGTAATATTCTTTATAACATAATGTCATATAATATTAAAAATTATTTTCATTATTTAATAGATATTGTAATAAAATATGTACATGACATAAATATTTAATAATTTAAATGGTTTAATTATATCAATAGTGTTACTTAAACTAATGATTACATTATTATTTAATAATTATACTCCTAAATAATTGTTTAATAGTATAATAAAAAAAATTTAAATAACTATTAAATGTATGTTAAGAATATTATAAGTACTAATATTAGTATAAGTTAAAAAAATTAATCATAGTGCAATAAAATAACTTTTAATGGTTATATATAATTTATTAAATAATATAATATTAAATACAACAAAATATCCATGTGCAAAGCACGTGCATTATACTAGTTATAAAAAAACAACCATAAACTTATAAAAACTTTATAATTTACAAACAACCAAAGATGAATTCAAGAGATTATTCTCATGCGCCTAAATTTTAAAATTTATCAAAATTAACCTCAAAGTTATAAAAGTTGTTGAAAAAACTCTTTCAAAATTCAAAAATTATAAAAAAACTCTAAAATTTTAAAATTTAAAACCAGTACACATCAAATCTAAAAACTATAGGTAGGCCGCTAAATTTTGAAATTTTTAAAAATTAATCAATAGTTTTAACAATTGCAAAAAATAGCCTCAAAATTCCAGAGTTGTAAGAAATATCGTGACATTTAAAAATTATCACCGACACATGAAACATAGAAGTCACAACTATCAAATTTAAAAGTAATTTTTTTAAATGCCCCAAAGTTTTAAAAATTACAAATCACGCCCTCAAAGTTCCAAACCACAAAAAAGGGCTGAAATTTTAAAACTAGCTTAAAAATGATCATCACCATATAAATTAAAGCAACTGCATAAAATTTTACTAATAAGTTGGAGCAGCAAAACACATTAGTAACATTAATTGATAGATGTTTAAATCCATAAGAATGATAAAAGACTATAATATAATAGCTTGGTATTAATTAATTATAATTTAGAAACATTAATATCTGATGTTAATAATATTTATATGGTAAAATAATACAATAAATTACATATGGAGAAACTATCAAAATGTTCAAAGATAACATTTAAAAGAATCAAGATATTTCCATTGCAAATGGAAAAGTGACGGAAATAAATTTAAAATTAAAAAAAACATCCATGAATCATTTGAATTGGCATTAACATAAGACATGTCTATTAAAGAAGCACCAACGGAGTTATATTGAAGATAATTTAATAACTTTATCCTAATCAAAGAAGAATTCTCCATGAAAGATGTAAGAAAAATTAGTAAGCATTCATAAATTTCATACTTTGTTTTTCAAATACTAAAGAAATTAGATATTAATATTGTAATCTAAGGAAAATAGTCAATAAAAAATACGGGTATTTAATTTAGATATTTGTGAAAACAATAGGGATAGAGCAAATATAATATTATTAATATAACAGAAACTCTTATTGGATACATATCAGAAAAATTTATTATAGAAAAAAATAGGTAGCTCCTAATCTTATTTAAGTAATAAATTAGAAACACAAAGAATTTTATATATATGAAATTAATATTTATTCTCATTGAAATAAAAAAAATCAAAGTCTGTATTTTAAGAAGTTTTTGTTGAACATCGAAAATACATTTGACTTCTTTGTAAAATTAAACAACAAGATAAAAGATTAATGAGCCTAGGAACGATAATAACACAAAAAGTACAACTCTAGCCTGATATCACAACCAAGTAGATGATAAAAATACTACTCTAGAATTGTCCGGGAAAAAGATAAATGTGAGGAAGGATTGATATTACCTCAGTAAAAAAATAAAACAGAATAAATAAAAGATAATATTTTCTAAATATTTTATAGAATAATTTAGATATTTTGAGTGATTTTAGAAATATTTAGAAGGGAGTTTCATGAGACTTTTTTAGTACTTTTATATGCTTTGCAAATGCTTTTATCATATTAAAGTATACTAGAGTTTGCATTAATCTTTAATTTATAATTTCCTATGAAGTCTATTAATGATTAGGAACAAACTTTATATTCTCTTTTGTATCGTTTTAGCATACTTTTAAGCAATTATTTTATCTTATTGGTTTTAAATATTCACCTTCCTTGTATAACACTGTTTTAATATTTTTTACTTCTGCAATATTGTACTTTCTCAAGTAAAACTTGGTTTCATGTCAGTCAAAATAATATGAAAATTCAAATTAGCTTTAAATTATATTTGTTTTCTATCAATTCAAGTACTAAAAAAAATTTAAATTGAGTGTAGCCCATTTAAACAAATATCAAAGATAATAACTAATCACAATATTAAAGTTTAGAGACAAAAGTGAGCATAAATTATTAAAGTGGATCTGAAGAACAAATTTTAGTTAGAAAATAAGCCAAATATACTTAATCATGTTATTTAACCACGTGCATTGCACGTGTATAAAACCTAGTATCCTTTAAAAGCACGAGTTTGGGAAAAATCTTTTCTTTGTCAATATTATCTTTCACTTTTTAAAATATTTATTTAAATCGTAATCTATCATAATCATAATTATATTCAATCTTAATTCCACGTGAATTACCTATAGCACAATATTTTTTTTAAAAAAATAAGATTAATAAGTTACATGAAATATTCCAACAATAACAAAAAACCCAAAATTTTTTAAAAATTACACAAAATATTCTCAATTATTCAAAATTACACAAAACACCATCACATATCAAAACTTAACTAACAAACATGAAATTTAAAATTTAATAGTATCATCTGAAAAATAAAATTTATAATTAACACATTCAATATTTTAAAAATTATAGCAACACCATCAAAAGTTTAAATTATAAAAAACACCCTAAAAACTTACGAACAATATAGATAAATTCTAGGTATTACCATCGGACTTGAACATAGATCCCCCTTTCCCCACCGTAAAAAGCTCTTTGTCGCATCAATTAAGCCTCATGGATGATAGAGAAAGATAATACCATGTAAACACCAATAAGTTTAAACGATAGTAAAAAGGTAAATAAATAATAAGTAGCTAGAATACTATAATACATGAATTATTGTCAAAAAAATAAAAAAGTTTTAAAATTTTCACAAAACACCCTCAATAGTTCAAAATTACACAAAACATCCTGATTTTTCAAAACTTAAAACGATAAACATAAAAATCTAAAAATTAGTAGTAGCCCACTAAAATTTAAAACCTGCAATTAACACCCTCAAGGTTTCAAAAAAATTTGAAATACCCTCAAAAGTTCAAAATTACTAAAAAACCATGAAATTTGAAAAATATATTAATAGATTAAATTTTAATATCGTTGTCTAAATAAAAATAATTGCATATAATTTTACTTATAAGTTGGAGTATCAAAAATATATAGGTTACATTAATTGATAGAAGACTAAACCACTTAAAATTGATAAAAGACTATAATATATTATTTTAACATTAATTGATTATATTTTATAAATATTATTCTCTGGTGTTAGTATTATTCACAGGGTAAAAAAATATTTCTAATGTTAATAATATTCATGGGGTAAAAAATATAGTGAGTTATGTATGGAGAAACTATTAGAAAGTCAGAGATGTCCTTCAAAAGAATCTAGTTGTTTTCATTTTAAATGGAAAAGTGAAAGAAATTAATCAAAAATTCATAAACTTACATGAATCACTTGAATTGATATTAACAATAGACATATCTATTAAAGAAGCGCCAACTCATTTCCCATTGGAGAACATATTAAACAACTTTTTCAGTCAAAGAAGCATTTTCATAGAAGATACAAGAAATATTATTAAATCTTATAAAATTTCATATTTTATTCTTCAAATATGAAAAGAGTCATAAACTTATTATATAATTAGATATAGATGACCATGCAATAGCAACTAACGTAAGGTATTGATCGACTATATTATGAGATATAACAAACTAGACAAGAGGAGGAAAATCACTATACTTGATAAAATGTATCCACATAATTCTTACTTAACAAGACAAACAAAAAGTGGGAAATCATTAGAGTGGAGAAAATATATACACGTGATACTTACTTATCATAGCTTAAGAAAAAAATTAAAATCGATATTTTTTTACTATACATTAACATGACTCTACATGTAATTTTATTTGAGAACATGGCTATAAAAAAGGATCAATTCTTTATGACATGATCAAAGTTAAGCCCATATGTGTGTGTGTGTTGTGTGTGTGTGTGTGTATATATATATATGTGTGTGTGTGTGCGCGCGCGCG